ATGGTGTACAAATCCTTGCTTTTGTCCTATCAAACAAGTATAAAGGCAATTGAGTAGTATCATATGGAAGGTCTGGGTGCTTTGGCGTGTATCGGTCCGGGATTTGATCTCCTGATCATTCAAGTGATAGCGCGCCACTTAGCACAACAACACCTCTGTCCGTGAATTCTTCCCCTTGTTGTTTACAAAGACGAATCTGGGTTTTTGAATGCCTGCGACTCATGATCTTCCCAAATTGCGAAGTTATCCCTATTTTTTGCTATTTCCCTTTTAGGTTGATCCTGAATTCCACTGAGAAATCATTTAAGTTAAAATCCTAACCTATTGCGCCACACATATTATTATGTCGTCGAAATCGCGAAGTCATTCGAATATCATATGAGCTTATCCTTAGGCCAGCTGTCACTTGTCAGAGTTTTTTTTTTTCGTTTCTGGCATGACCATCACCTGTTACCCATTTCCAAACAGGTGTGTAGCTTTTCTTTTTACATGAAAATCCAGCTTCCCCATACGCCCTCCTGACAAGGATTCCTGAGATTATGCTTGATTGTGCTTTTGACTTTACTGCTAGATGAACTCTGGTCTCCTGCAACAACCCAGTGGAGGTTCAGGGTGATTGAAAATGTCAAGTGGCGGTTCTTCTTGCAGCACGAACGGATTGATCGTCACCGTCGTCCTCTATTGTTGTAAATACATATGCTTCGAGAATGGTCGAAAAACATGAGGCACATGCTCACTTGCCGGCTTGTTCGCAACTAATAGCTCCAATGACTGGTCGCATTGTGATGTCTGTCGCTCCGTGATGCCTTAGATTTACTGGCAATCGCTTCATAAGTACATTTCGTCGTTAGTGGTTGAAAAACTTGAAATCAGGTTGTGTTCGAAATGTGCGGCAGCGATCGGTCGAGAGGTGTTTTATGTGGTGTATGGTTGACGACTGCGATGGCGTCCACAGGCACCACCCACCTTATCGCATTGCCAGCCGGCCAGGCACAGCCACCGTCGATCCCGCCGTTCTCGACAACCAACCCCTCACTGATATGGCAATCATCGTCCGTTGAGGACGAGCTTTCACGACATCAGACAAGCACCGCCCCGTCGCAAAGGCTGCCTGTTGCAGTAGCAGCCGTTTGGTTCTTCTTCCGCCGGAGACCCTTCGACCTCCTCTCAAGAAAACTAGCCGGCCACTTGAGACGTGACTATTCTCAGTCTGCTGGTACCCTAACGTTGCAGTGGAAGGAATTCGTCCCAGCTGACTAAACTTCGGTCGCATAGACGACTATTCCTATTGTTCTGACCACACGCTGGCGAATCACTTCACTATTGAATCAGGACGTCGAATGTGTGCTTTTACGGATTGTGTACTTTGTGATTCATAGAGATTCAACGTTCTCACAATTCATTGTGGTCTATTGAACAATTGAAAAGCGTGATTTCCTTTTTCCGTGATTTCGGGATCAATCAATAAGTCTTGAAGCTTGCCTGGGAGTTTTCTCCTCCACTTATTGTGTTCCGAAGATCCACCCGGCAATCTACCACCTGAGCACGATCGCTTTTAGGAGAACAATTAAGTGTTGCCGAGTGGAGGCCATTGNGTGATTTCGGGATCAATCAATAAGTCTTGAAGCTTGCCTGGGAGTTTTCTCCCCCACTTATTGTGTTCCGAAGATCCACCCGGCAATCTACCACCTAAGCACGATCGCTTTTAGGAGAACAATTAAGTGTTGCCGAGTGGAGGCCATTGAAATAAGTGGACGTTGAGCCAGTGGCTGAGGAGAACGATTCCAGGTTGAAAAAAACCAGGCCAGTTGCCATAAAAGTGTCAATATTCGTCCGTCAGACGTTTTCCTGATTCGACTGGACGATAAGGCTGAAGCATCCCCTTGAGTAGACCATTCTCGGTGATATTCAAGCCATCTGGGACCGCTGCAATCGAACTCTGTAATACCATCGACACCCAGAATGTCAGCCACCATCGCTAAACGGATGACATTTCGTCTTCGTTCACGATCGAGCAGTCGTCATCGGGCTGTTTCGTGCTTGCTGCCGGCCTATCATAGTCTTGACGTGCCATCACCACCAATAACGCCGTCTAACGGTGAATTTTTATTTCTCTAATGTATTCTGAATGCTTCAAAGGCTGTCAAGCCTTCGTTTTTGACCTATTTAATTTCCGTTCTTTCCGGAAACGCATTGATTTTGTTGAGAAGAAAAATCGGGTATTCAGTGTCGGTGAAATTCCAGGAATAGTTGAAAGGCTAATGTTCCAGGCCGTACGGCTGTGTACTACCGAAAAAGTTGATGTACTTACTCGAAAAAGCCAGCCATCAGGCTACAACTACTACTACGATATGACTTTTTCCTAGTTTGCCCTCATTAATTTCCTCGTAGGCCTTTTTCATGTACATGCCCCAGTAGTGAATGGATCAGGTTTACAGAATAAGCTGACTTTACGCCTTTGACGCCAGAATCAGAAAGAACTTCTAGAAGAAAGGGTTATTCTTCGTTTTTACTACATTGCTGAGATTATTCTCCTTTTTTACTTCAGTGCTACTCTCTCTTTTTTTTTATTCAGAATAATTTTCAATCAAATTTTTTCCCATTGTTGTTCAGGAATTTTTCGCACAAGTTCAATTTTTCTAGGTTTAATTTAATTTTCTTTCAATTTCTGATTTCTTTTCTGATTTTTGGTGGAGTTAGTCCATTTCATGGCTGCTGGACTACCTCTCTTGGAGTCACATCAAAAAACGGTTCCAAGGTACAACTGATAATGATAATCCGTTTTTATCAGTTATCAAATGAATAGGGAAAGTCAAAAAGCAAAGTATTTTCTATGTAGAAGCCCAGCTGATAGTGATAAGCTCTTTTTTATCATTTATCACCGGGAGGTAAGTTACGAAAAATCAAAAATCAAAAGTTTTCCATGTATCGATCAATAACCATTCTCTACCAATCGGATCGAATAGGTTTTTGAACGACTCGGTCTGCTTACACAACTCCTGGGATCGATTCCGTTCAAGAGGCTGACAGCGTTTTACGTCAGTTGAGTAACTGGTACAGTTTAAAGGATCCCCCAGCCTGCTACCAGTTAACTGACTTCTGAGAAACTTGGTTGACCTGGACGAATTCCGATCCGGGGTAGGATCCCTGGACCATGCGTGTAAGGAAATGCGCCACCAGCCACTACACAACTTCCGCCATTGAATAAGTGTTATTTGATTTCTATTTTAAATAGGATAATTCTGGTATGAACACGGTTTGCTTGGGGAAGTTCCTGCCTAGGCTGAATGCATTTTTAATTTTCCCATTACTTTGACTTGACTCAGTCCGAAAAAGTTAATGACGGCTTGAGTGATATCGGAAGCTCTCGTCTTTCCCTCGCTTTTCCTTGATCATCTGGGGCATTCTCATGTGGATTTCGGGGATTTTCTTGATTTCAAATTTAATTTCGATAACCGGTTTCAATGTTTACGGTACGAAGCGAAAGCGGTCCTTGTGAGGTTTTTTGCCTAGTTTTTTCCCCGTTAAATGGCATCATTTTTTGCAGCTAATGAATAAACATTTTTGATGGGCCGATCCTCCAATAATCCCCGAATGAATGAGCGAGCTGTCAGAAAACACAGCTGTCAAACTGTTTTCGAATAAAATCGATTTTTGAGACAGCATTGGCCATATGGTAATAATGTATGCAGTGTCTGTCAGTTTTTCTGAAAGGCGACATGCACTTGTCTTTTATTTAGAGCTCGATTAGGTTGCAAGACTCAGTTGTTAGTCGAGACACGGTCTTTCTACCTTTAGGTCGGACGAGTTGGCTGGGCTGACCCTGAATGAATGAAGTTTCCATTGGTGGGTGTAGAATTCTATCTAGAGGACTGTCTATGCACAATACGGTGCGTCTAGGCACTGCGTTCGGACAGTCCTCTAGATCGAATACATGCAGCCAAGAGCATAGGTCCAGATATGCCCACTCAGTTCCTCTTAGTCGTTTTGAGTGTTGTAAGTAAGTAATAAAGTAATGAAAATGACAAATCTTGGTTTTACTTTTTTCGATTTGAAAAAATGATGGAAAGCCTGAGAAACTTCTGGAAAACCGTGCAGAACTGTTTAGAAACTTTTCCTATTCGATGAATGCTTTCGGAGCTGGAAACCTTGCTACCAAGAGTCCCTCGCCGTTTCAGTCTAAATGTGCATACTGCGAATTTTGACAAAAAAATGATCGATACGTATCTGAGACGTTTCGAAAATTAAAATGACTGAGCGTTAACCATTTAAGTCGTCCAAGTCTACTAGAAAATCTAAAGGATTCAAAGTTCGATAGTAATGCACATTACCATTCATGTGCTGTGTTCAGCTGCTTTTCACCGATTTTTTTCCTATCCTACAATGAATCCCCTTTTTTCGTTCCGCATTTTGGATCAGTTGGTGAAAAGATCGCAGTCCCAAAATTGCCTTGTCGATTGGACCTAATGTCACTCCCTTCAGGAATTACGTCAAAGCTTCGAAGATATTGCATAATTGTGTTGATAATGTGTACTGCAAAACATGAAATTTATACTACCAAAAAAGTCTTTCTACAGGTTTATATGTTTATGACTTTACAGATTATACTATTTTTATATCTTTTTTCTCAATTATTGTCTGATTTAGAATCCGATTATCTTCCATCGGAAACCTCAGCGACAAAACGTGAACGTGCTGCTACGCATGAACTGGTGACACGTCCTGCACATCCGCCGAAGAGTTGTGTGTTTTCTTTTCTACTTGAAGTTCGAATTTAAATGTTTTGATATTATTTTAACTTTTCGCTTGCTCGATTCTCGATTTACTTTTTTCCTATCCATCCAGTCGAATTACTGCTCGGTTAGATTGAAACGATTAAAATTGCATGCGGAGGGGGTAAACATCGTTATTAATCGTGTTAGTCTCTCATTCGGCATGGAATGTGCAAAGGAAAACATGAATTATTTTCTGAGTTGAACACGTGCACACGTAAAACATAGGTATTGATCGATCAGTACCGTTCATTCATCAGTACTGTTACAGCTCCTCTTTGTATGGGTCGTGCGATGCGAGTTGTTGTAGTAGGAGGACGGCGTGTCGGTAAGACGGCAATACTCCGACAAGTCGCATGTTTCGAGGATATCACATCCAAGGTGAACAACTTTTTATTTTTATTGAAATCGAAGTATGGATGTTTCCTTGGCGTGATCGACTTTTTCTGGACTGCGCAGTGCATTCGATTTCCATCCAGAAACAGTGAGTCGTTGGAAAGTGTGTCCGATGGCATGGATAGAAAATGAGTGAATGGGAATCCATCTGCAAGAGAGTTTCGCTCAGAATGTGCTCTCTGAGTGTCTGTGGATTTTTGAACTTTAAAAGGGTAGCCCCGCCCACTTTTCCCATTAGGGAACTGGACGCTTGCGGGAGCTCATTGCATTGTTTCCTTTCGCTTTCCCGTGTCTTTAGTTCCTTTCGAAGTGCAACATAGTAAGCAATGAGCGGCACAGTTTCTACCGGATAGCTCCGCCCCCAAAGGGTGTTGTATGAAGGCTGACAGACATAACCCATCCTCCTTCTTTGGGCGGTTTCCTACTCAAATTCAAGAACGCCCTTGTTATTTCGTATTTCTGACTTTTCATTTTTCGCTTTCTCCTGTTTTCTTTCTGCTCCAAAGGCCTTGAAGTCTCCAATCCCCTTCCCATTCACCTCGACGCCGTTATTTGGTCCAGTATGCAATTATTAGTACTTTGCAAGACCGGAAAATAATTGGTATATAAAAAGTATCCAGAAAATAGTGGCGAAGGACAATGGCAATCATACCGGGAGATAACCTTGAAATTAATTTGGGAAATAAATGAAAAACCAATGACTACCCAGTCGTGATAGTGATCGACTATGAGGATGTTACCATCGTATCGTATGTTACTGTTACTTTTTTCCCTCTCGAATGACCTTGTGTGTGGTCGTTGAGGACGAAAGATTCCTTTGTTCAGGTATCGTTCATTTTAAGGGTTTTTTGTAAGAGTAAGATCTTTATCTTAGAGTTTCAAGGATGTTATAGGTTGCACTTTTGTCTCTTTTAAGCAATGATCGTTTAAGATTTTATAGCTCTATGATTTATAATTGTGATTTATTACCGGTTTCCGAAGTAAACAGCAGGGAGATAAGAGTTGTCTAACAAGCATCTGAAAAATTGAAAAAGAATTCTTAAAAAGTAATTGAAAACACAGCTGAACGTAAAAGGACGGGCATTCAAGGCTTCAAAGAGCACTAGTCTGCCAGCACTGCAAGGTTGTACCTCTGGATACCGGCTTGTAGTAAGAAAAGGGCCCCTTGAGGCATGTAATGAAAAAGAAAACAGAAGGCCTAGCTTGTTAAATTACTACGATTAGTACCATTAACATGCAAGAATGTTTTTTGGCTTTTGTTTTGGCTTGCTAATGGAAGCAAACTCTTCAGATGAAGAAATTACTCGCACCAAGGCATATGAAACCGTAGCAATAAAGCTGTAGACATTTTCACAACATTCAATCACTTCTATATATTCTAGGTGACGACCCAAGACATGGCGCATCCAGAAAAAAAGATTCTCTGCCAAGCAACGCATGCGCTTCATCCAGAGGAATTTCTGAAATTTTCAATGATGTATTGATTTTTTAGAAGTATGAACCAACGATTGACGACACGTACCAAGTATTATTGGAAGAAGCTGATCGGCCTCGAGAAATCTTGATATTTCATGATACCGGTGGCCTCGCCGATCACGGTCCAGCAGAATTGAAAAGGCCATATTTGCAGGTGAGCAGGTTATTCAATGGTTTGGGAACGCAGAATTCGCGACTGGATCGCGTGGATTAATGCCCATGAACCTTTTTCTTCCTTTTTTCGATTATTTTTCTTAATAGCTGTCCAAAATCTTTTCATTGGTACCTACTCCTACAAAATGTTTTTACTCTACTCTGAAAATGTAAGAAATGGATTTCAAAATCGTAACGTAACGGCCCGCTGTGGAGTTCTACGTGGGGTTTGGGTTATAGCATGTGTATGTATGATCTATTGTGCCCGTTTTTTATGGGTTATGGGTTACACAATTCAAATATGTGAGGAATAAGAGGTCTGGCTTCTTATGAGTCTTTTAGGTGATATTTACCTGCTTTTGTAAAATGCTTCGGTTTTTGCAACTTTGGAACAAAATTGCTTCTCACTACTTAAGCAAGTCTACGTCTTTAGAGAAGAGTGGTCACAGTCAAGAGGTGCTTCAGTAATCATCTGGTTTCCCGATGGTAACTGCATGAAATAATCCTTACATGAGGAGACTATCAGCCGCATTAGTTGCATAAATAAACAGATACAACAATTTAAGAGGATTTTGCAGGGGATGATGCAGTTTGATTAGAGTGACGGTTACGGTAGTATCCTGTTCCAGTCACGTAGGTTCGTTCATACCTACCAATTTGAGTTCTTAAGATGTTAAAAGTTGAAAATTAGCCGAAATCGGCTGTCCACAGAGGGGTTTTCTTCGGGCTTTTGTTCAGTGTTCAGTGAATTGAGTGGAGGGTACTTAAGTTAGTAAGTGGCNCGAGTTGAGTGGCGAAGGGGGGCGAACTCTGAAAATTAGAGAGCAATCGACTTGTGGAGGAAGTCACAAAAGTGTTCAAAAGAACACTAATGGGTCTGAAAACGATTTTGAAAAGATTGAAGGACGTGTGAAAAGAAAACTGGTTTCTTTTGACCTTCTCCTTCCCTTTACTTTCTTTTACTTTTAACTTTTTCTTTACATTACCTTTTTTGATCGCTAACCATTTAGTTTACTAGGTTTAGTTTCCTAATATAGACTGGATTCCAAAAACTAAGGAAAATATTTCATGTTACCCCGAACATGTTGTAACAGTGGAGAGCACTCAGTTGAAAAGATAAATAAATAAACAAATGAATGGGAGCCGGCAGTTGCAGTTTTCTCATACAAAAATTGTTTCCTGGCAATTAAAAATCATTCAAAAATTTAGTCTCGTCTTTAAATATTGCAATTCAGTTCAGTTCTTTTTTCTCTTTTCTGATTTGATTCTTTTCTTTCTTTCCCTTAACCTTTATTGCTACCTCATGTTTCCTATTTCTCGCCGAAAGATCTTCCCCAAAACAATGGAAATTAGCCATCAACCGAAAAAGCGGTAGTAAAAGAGTTTCTACTTAATTTCACTTGCGACCGGTTCTTTGATTTTACGACTCGACAAGTACCCTAGCTGAGAGGCATAAAATTCTCGATGAGGGGGTTAGTTTAGGTTATTTTTAAAGCTAATGAGTTTTATTTCCATTCTATCTCTGATCATGACTTTTGTGTAAGGGTCCAAAGTTTTCTACCGTTATTATTGTTTCGTTTTTTTTTTTTTGCTTGCAAAGTTTTTTTTTTCAGATTGGGGTAGGTAATTTGGTTTGATTTATAATTTCGGGTAATTTTGAGGGTTTTCTATGGTCTCTGCAAATATGTGAAGCAATTTAAATGCTATGAAAAAATATTTGATTTGGGAAAAGCAGTTCCCGTTTCAGGTAGCTGATGCCTTCGTATTAGTATATTCAGTGGCTGATCATGAATCATTCAATCGAATGGACCTATTGAAAAAATTCATAGAAAAGAATTTTGGAAAAGATCGGAAAGAGGTATCGGTTGTCCTATTTTTTGTTTTGAAAATTTCACCCTTTTTTGTAGTTATAGTTTTTTATTTCACCTTTCTATAATACCTGAATCGTGTGTCGAAATATAGATTTTTCGTGGGGCTTGATTAATAAGGGTTTTGATTCCCTTGAAGTTATCTTTTTTAGTTGGCTTATCTTTGACAGTATTTCTGGTTTACTAGCGGCTATAGGCCCGAAATAGCATCTATTTCGTTTGTGTAATTGTGTACCTGTTTATTTTTTAATTGAATCTTCTTTTCGTCAAGGAATGTTCCTATAGGAATTTGTGGCTGAGTAATAGAGTAAACCGGTAATTTTAGGAATGACTCAATAAGGTGGCTGAAAAAACTCGGTAACTGTGCGTGTTAGTGTGGTAGTTGAGACACATGCCCGGAAATACCAAGCCTGGGAATGGGGGATCGCGAATGGGGACCCATCGAATTTTAGCAGATCTCTCAGACTCAGTGGACCGGGACCGAACTCCGATTGGAAGGGACTCCCTAGTATTCCAAAAAGGAGTAGACCTTTTAGGGAACTATGAGGTGTTTAAAAATCAACAAATAAGAAAGGAGTCTTCGAACCGTCGATCAACGTAGCCTGGCGATGTGCATTCAACTGCCGCTGCGATTTCTAACGGAAGTCAAATGCGTGGCGCACATGGGATGGCACTGATTGATGCTATCTGCCTGAAACCAACGTGTCTGAACGTCTGATCCAGGGGATTTCATTCTTTCGATCATAGCCAACGTAAACTTGTACTAGGGGAGCATGGCTTATCCTCTTGGACATGCTAATTTCATCGGTTGATATCCAAAAAGATGAGAATGATTGGAAGCGCATAATCACGGCCTTCACGGTGGTCTGCCCCTTTAAACAATTGCCAAATGATGCGAAAACATATTTCTCGCACATCATCGAATTGCTAATTTGAGGCAGAACGCTAGGATAGCCCGTGTTCCCGAAGGATTGAGTCTAGGGATTTCTTCTTCGACCTTCAAAGGTTCCTTCAGGGTTCGGGCACGTCTTTTCTATTTCGTACACGCATTAGGACATTATCGGTCTATGAAGGGTATCAGATGATGTGAAACAGTTGTCTATATTTGTAGCAACAGTAGGACCAATTGATCGACTTCTCCAGACTTCGATTGACGTGGTTGTGGGACTTGATCCCAGAGCTCTGGACCCAAGGGTGTCTGGATTAGCGCTACCTCTAGTTGTTCCCATACTTTTTAGGGTATCTAAGAATTCGAAACACGACCTATTTCCGAATCAAAAGCAACCAGAGAGTAAATTATAGCCCATCGTACCTCTTGCTATGATGTTGAATTAGTGTATTTTATTACTTTAATGGGATACGGTGAGAGGGTGAAGGGGATTGCGAAAAAAAAATTCCCAAAATTACTACCGCCAAGCCAAACATCAACTGCAAAGGATTCAGTCTGGAGGTCATTCTTCTATCCGGCCCTACGACTTTTCGTCCCACTTATTGATCACTTTTCCTAGAATTCAGATGTGTTGGTGTAGGCAGTTGGAAACCTGGAAAATTTTAATTGGACTTTTCAGAAGTGAAAGTGTCTCAAGTGTAAGTGAGGCAGTAAAAGTCTGGGAACGACTGCAACCTCAATGGGTCGCGTCTAGTTCTGTCGTTTGATTGCTCTCGTTCTTAACTCAAGGTTGTTATTGGCCTCGTTCTGTGTCTAACTCGTGTATTCAGCTTACCTTAACAATAGAACCAGTTTTCCGGGTATAATTTCCCATACCCTTTCATGTATCTATTACAGTATCTGTTTGTTTGTCTTTCCCTTTGATTACACAAGAGATGGGGGGCTTGACGCTCGTGGAAATGAATCAATTGTTTTGCATAGGACAAATCGAGAACGAATGATTCATAGCCTAACTGGTTGGGAGACTAGCTTTGTCATGATGAAGAACACTGGATTGTCTATTGGACGTTTCTTACTCACCGATGACTAGATTGATGGCCATCAAGAGTTTGTAGTTGGGGATCATCCGGGGAATGGGCTTTAGATTTCACTTTCAATTGATTTTCATATCAATTCAAGGATCGCTTACTGATTTTGCGATGGCAGTTGGCAGTTTTGAGCACAAGAACTGGAGAGGAGTCTTGAAAAGCTCACTCTCCCTGAAGCCTAAAATAATGTCTTCATCTTCAACTGGACTTGGTGACTGAGTCGGACCTAGTTTGATGTTCTTTGCCTATAAGTGCGAGAAGAGTGTTTGTTCATCTCACCATTTAGGGCCTGTCATAGTCAGGACCCCACGTCTCTGAGCTTTGTCAAAATTTTTGCAGATTGCGCCATGTAATCAATTTCTTTTACAGTCGTAGTGGCATCAGAATGGCTAATTTAACTGCCATGCATACCTTGATCCACCTCCAATTCCAATAAACCTGACTAGACCGAGAGTATCGTCTCCCGAGTCGATCTCCTCACAACACCCATGTCATGCAACCTGCATGGCCCTCTTCCTCTACCACATGGGCAATTTCGGCTGGTACTAGGCACAGTTGTTGTTGTTTTTCCTTTTCATGGTCCTTTCCAATTTTTTTTTATTAGCAGCGTTTCTGTGGTAAAAAATAGACGTCGGTCGAACACTGCGATTGACGAGTACTCGATTTGACAAGCGGAAATTGGTTGGTGTTTTATTGACAAACATTGGGGAAAATCGGTGGTCGCTCGATGATTGAGAGGGGTCGTGCGAGCGTCGAAAAGAGTGATAATTCGGAAAAACTGGTTACCAGGTGCAGGGACCATGACTTTCTGGTTGGCAACTAAGCAGCCGTTGTTTTTCTCAATACAGAACGTTTATTTAAAACAACCTGTTTTCGAAGTGATTTATTTTATACCTGAGTATAAAATGTTTCTTTTTTCTCAAAAAAAAAGTTAGTTTGTCTTCCCAAAATGTACGCGTTTCCGGGTTGCTATCGTATCAATACAATTCATTGGAAGAAACACTGTATTTTAACAGAATAGATTACTTTCTGGATCAATTTAGAAAATGTTCCAAAATGCGAACCTATTAAAGCATCGATTTTCGAAAAAGGAAAGAGAATTCAATAGAATACTATGACTTTATGATTTTTATTTATCATTATTCATAATTTTATTTGTTATTTGATTTTTGATTATTATTTATGATTTTTATTTTAATTCTAGTTTAGTGACATTTGGCAAAAAAAAATCCTAACATTCTACGAATGTTTATGTTTGGAGTTCATTTTTTCGTGTTCTACCCGTGCCATAAACAACTGGTGTAAACAATGCATGACATGGACAATGATTGGTGGTGGATGGCCGTTTATACTTTCTAATTTTTCAGGTTCCAATCGTAGCCTTGGGAAATATGCGAGATTTGTCAAATCGACGAGTAGACAGTGATTTTGCGTACAGTTGGGCGGCACGAGAGCGAGGTGCGTGTTTTTCATGGAAATGGTTTAATTTGATTTTTTTCTCTAGTTCTTATATTTAGTTTTCAACTATTTGCTCTTGTCCGTTACGGCATGAGCAATATTGGAGCATTTCCAAGCGAAATTTTTCCGAATGAAAATTTCGCGATTTTGTATTATTTCGTATATTTATGTACACTACAAATTGGCTTATTTTGCACCAAGAATAGTAGTGGTTCAGGTTGAATTTCTGGTTTGTAAAGTAGAAGATCAAGTCGATAAAAATCAGCCAAATCGGCAACTGACCCAGTCTTTATTTTCAACCGCGAGAAATCAATCAGTGATGAACCATTTACTGCAGTTACGACCTCCAGCGACCTCAGTCTTTTTCTCAAAATTGATTTTTCCGTCAAAGTGCCATGTCATGGGAACTTTTTTGGACTTCTTCTCCCTAACTTCACCATAGCTCCGAATTCTGACAAAAAAAAACTGATCTCTTTACTTCGACCCATTATTTCGACACCGGAATTACGACCCTTAGAGATTTTTTTACCTCACGTGTTATATAACACGTGTTCCCTCCGTTTTTTTTTCAAATGTGATGTGGATCGAATTCCAAACCCATGTGGTGTGTTCAGTGGGCAGGAAAGAAGACATTACTTTACAACTTAATTCCCACCAACGAGCTCACGGAGTCAATCAATAATCAGTCCACATGCTGTTTTTTGTTTATTATCTTTTCCCAACGTCCCACAAGTTTTTTTCGGTGTCTCTATACATTTTCTGGAATTTTCCAATTGTTTCCATGATTCAGCGAATAACCTTTACAGTCTAACATTGAATTTTTTTTATTTTTGAAAAAATGGCATGATTTGCTGGACAACCCTTTAGTACAATGTTTTGAAGAAGTTGTGACTAAGTAAATGACTAATCACTAGCCAATTTTTTGCGTTGGAAGGTAGGAATTGAATCAGTGAATCAGTGGCTTGTTGCTGGTTCAGTTAGTTTTTGCTCCCATTTTTAGAGCTCGGGAGTCAACGTAACTAACTAGTATTTTTGAAGCAAGTTCCGCTATTTTGTAGAGCAGATAAATATCTTTCGAATAACATACGATCGCAGAAACACAGAAGAAAAATCCCTTTTGAAAGAAGAGCGGCATTTCCTGTTCAGCAACCCAATTAAGCCTATCGCATTCCTTTGTTCCGCTACTTCCCACTGTCGTACAAGTGAACTTTGTTTTTTTTTTTCACTTAATCCATCACTATCTGTGAGGTACTGTTTTTTCAAGGCGTATGACAAATTGATGGTTTCTAAAGAGTCAGTCAATACTTGGAAGACGCCGGAATTTGAAGCAGTATATGCTAGAATAAGCAGTGATTGAGAGGGGGTCCATAAATTGCCTGATTCTTTGGTCCTCAAACTGAGAGCACTAAAGCAACCTCACCTTTCGACAATAAAAAAAAAGCTCATAGAGAGGAACTTGAGAGACGGGCAGTAGGAACGGTTTTGTGTAATCGATCCGCCGCACGCGGCTGTCGCGGACCATTTGCCTCGTTATAACAGTTCTAGCGTTCTTCATACAGCTCAATCGCTAGGCGATTATTACTTATGGCATAATTCTACTGTTAGTTCTTTTGTTCCTTATTTCTTACTCGCTGGTGCATTCTGCTACGTTCCTTCGCGCGCGGCGCCTCTCTCGCTGCGACGCGGCAATTTCGTTCCTACTGCACCACACCCGGAGGCTGCTTTAGGGCTTTCGACAGCAAAAAAAAGAAAGCTCTTAGAAAGGAACTTGCTTAGGCCAAAAAGTATTTTATCATCTCATCGAACTGTTCTGTCATCACTTTCCACCCTGTGTAGGTTACTCGCCGCCAAGTAAGGGAGACGGGACTTGCACTTGTCATACTTTCGATGAGTCATGAGTCAATGGGAAAGCTCTATTGCTGGAGCTGCTATAATTCCGATGAGTCAGCCGTATGGTTCTATTGCTGGAGCCCATTATCAGTCATTAACGATGGGGAACTTTTTTCCTGACCATGAGTCCAGGAGAAGAATAACTGAGAAGACTTCTGCATTAGTCGGGCCAGCAAGGCTTCTCAATGCTCGGCAAAAGTACAAAAGTCTGATTGAGGGTGGGGGTGGATTGAGTTTGTAGTGGAGGTAAGCAAACCAGCCCGTTTGGCCCTTCTGCTGGATGCATTTGCTTATTCTGCCATTCTGTTTGAGGGTCTCATAATCCCACTCAGGGAAAGTACGTGGGGAGTCGCTTCTAAGTCCAGGTGGAAGTTCTTCATACGGTATACATAGGGCTGCCGTGCAACTGTGACAGTATGGTGTGCTTTGACACTTGATTCATATATTCACCCAATGTCTTCCACATATTAACAAGGAAGTGTCTTCCACCTGGGATTTAAAATCGACTCCCCGCGTACATTCCCTGAGTGAGATTATTAGACCTTTAAACAGGATCGCAGAATAAGGAAATGCATCCAGCAGAAGGCCAAACGGGCTGGTTTGCTTATCTCTTTGTAGTGTGGCTAAAGGTTCCACCTCAATGAGGGACCCAAAGTACCCAAGGATAGACTCGTGGTTATATGCTATCCCTGCGCCAAGTAGTCTACTTTTATGATCTGCCCACAAGTAAGTACGATCCACAAAGCGTCAACTTAATACGAGAAACTATTTTTTATTTTGCTGTTGAAAGTCTCTTAAAGGCCTTTATAGCCTCAGAGGGTGCAAAGTAAACTTTTCCCCGTGCTCAGATGGCTTATTTAGGAAGCGGCGACCTCCTGATAAGGCACTGATTGAGATTGAGTTGCTAAAGCCAATACGTTGTAGCATGAACTTGTCCGAAAGGATGAACAGCGCTGTTCAGACGATGAGGTAGAAGCCCATTAGCACGTTATGCGGCTAATTTGACATACCACACTAATTGGGCACAGAACTCGTCTTTCGAGCTCTCCCTGATAGACAGTTAATGGCGATTGTTTGGGTTGGAAGCCAGGGGAGTGAAGGAAGAGCTAGTGGTTTTGTGTTTCAAGAAAGGGAGGTCGTAGAAAGGGTTTGCCTTGAATTTATTGTAAACAAATGAGCTGAAGCCAACGGAGAAAAGGGGAAGTGCTAGACTTAGCGCCCTCGTCACCGCGGCGCATAGCTGTGTGATTGGAATAGGTACTGTAATCTAGTTTTTCACGAGATCAACTTGTTAAAATAGTAATTGTCGTGTATAACATGTGATCATGGTAGAAGATTCGTATAAACAACACGTTTGAGCACGTTGAAGAACCGCATCGCAATCGCGTCGCACTCAACCAGTGCAATAGTGCCCTATGATTGATGGTTGTAAGCGCTTAGCCAATCACAGGCTTTCGTTCCCTTCGGACCCAATTTAAATTTAAATCAAAATTATAAGTACTAATTTGTTGACAAAATTCACTGGATATTTTTTATTCATCGTAGAAAATATTTAAAAAAAAACGGGTTTTCAGTGAAACTGTTCGAAGTGTCAGCTAAAGATCGGAATACGCTGGTAGACTTTGTACAATACCTTGGACAGCGGCATTTCCATCCCATCAGTAAGTTTCCACGCAAATTTTATTTTGTTAATGTCTGTAGCGCATACCCCCATGAGAAGGATAATTGTTTCAATCTGGACGAATACTTAGCGAGTCGTTGAATGACCGCGCCGCGACCGCTCGCGCCATTGGGGTACGGAGCACAAAACGTGAACTTTAATTGTCGACTAATTATGGGTGCGGATTATTAGTTGTACTTTCATAGATGTTATCTTTTTCAGAAGAATCAAAGTTCTCGCTGTCAAAGAAATTGAAGGCCGAAAAATCGAATCCAGCAATATTAATGGATTTCTAATATTCAGTTTCTTGATGTGTATTCTTTGATAATTGCATTGCCATTACTACGTTGTAATTTCGTCGTCGATACGTGCCGTACCCTATTGATTGATTGTTTTGGTTCAATCTTTGATCTACAGGTATTCCAATCGATCAGGTCACTCTCGCATGCTTACTATATAATGTGTACTTTACTAAATCTATTCATAATAGTTAAACATCGTTCATAATAGTACTATAATTGTTTTCTTTCAAAGAAAATATGTTTATTGTGATATTATATTAATAAAAAATATTAATTGGAATTATGTTTGCAATATAAAAAACTTATGAATAAATTTTGTTTGGAGCTTGAGGTACCTCCGACAGAATTATATTTTCAGGTTTGAAAGCGCTATGTAAGTAAGTTAAAAAAGCAAAGATATTCGAAGTTTGGTTGTTAAAGAGTGGCTAATGTAAACTGTTTGAGAACGAGGATGACCGCTTTGCAACCGCGCGCTTGGTATTTATATACTCTGCACTCTCACCACCTTATATCAGTATCAAAATATGAGAAGTGATTTGAGAGCAGATTTGACGTCCTGTAGACCGGTAAGTATAGCTTTGAAAGTGATAATTAAGCGTAATTGATTACAAAAGAATATGCAAAAATGAATAGAATTTGGTAGGGTTCCACCGTCTAGCCATCTGCTACCTCTTGCCCAGAGAAATGTCTCGACCAATTCAGGTGGCTTTTCAACAGAAACAAAGGAAGATTAACATTTTCTTCACACACCCATTTTGGAACTCCTGCCTTTCCTCTTTATCGTTCGTGACATTGCCAGCCAACCGACCTCTGCGTTTTACTGTGAATGGACGCAGAGGGCCATTGGTTAGTTATCTCAAATGATGTCAGAAACGAGTATAAACCCTCCATCGATAACTTTATACAAGAATTTCACACTGTAGGGACATGTTAAGCCATCAGAAGATGCTGCTATAAGAGAGAAGGAGAGCGATGAAAAAGCCAATTAGCTCAGTCGTTTGCTTTTTTGTAAGGAATCTGACAATGACCGGAATTTTTCAGCTTTCTAGAGCTCGTTTTAAGATTTTTGGCAACCATAAGTTGGGTAGGATTAGTTTAGCGATGCTGGAAATCATTTGATGCTCCCGATTCAAGTGCTTTCATGTTGCAATAGGAAAAGACCCCGCTTTACCTGCAGTGTGGGAGGCGTGGCTTTACTGTGGGCGGTGTCTGTGACACGAGACGCCTTTGCTGGCATTTTTCCCCTACTTACAAAAAAATCTATTAGCGTGGAGGAATACAATCAGAAAACAAGAAATTCAATTACGTTCAAGTCATTGCAATCGCTACCTTTGCACTTTGGAAATGTTTTTCGCTCGCAGAACCACTTTATCACTGGGATTATTAGTAACCAACTCAACTAGTTTGGTACATGAGTAGTTATCATTTCCATAAATTGTTTCCAAAGAAGTTATATGATGTTATACAACTAGTTTGATGAAATAATTGCGCAGCTATGAAAAATCGTTAAAACGTTACTTTGTTTGCATTGGGTTATGACTGTACACAGTCGTCGTTCTCAAGTATGATGAACGATCACATGAACGATCTTTTTTCATAAAATGCCGAGCTTCTTTACCAAAGAGGACTGATGACCATTCAAATTTGTTCGACTTCAGATTATTGGCCTACTGTATCGTGCAGTGTCTGCAAATGCAGACTGGAGTTTTCATGATAAATTTGAATTCGCACTCATCGCGTTTAAATGTTTGCTGCTGTACAAGGTTCTATTTGTCAGCATTGAGTTCTCTTTACTGCTTTAAATCTGTTGTTTACTGTTGTTTTCCATAACCCGATTCATTTTTGCCAATAATGACACGTTTTCGAGATTGCGCTGACTAAGGAGGAGTGGAACTGTAGGTTATAAATATACTGTTTTTAAATTTAACGGCATTGGCTTTCTCTAATTATTTGGGATAAAGAACCAATAGTGTTGATTTTAACTGTGAAAAAGTGAAGGCAAATCACAAAATCTTTTAAGAGCTTCCTTGTGTGCGGAAAACTTGTTCCCCTACGACGTTTTCAGTAGTATTTACTTTGTTTCACATGAACGTTGGGTAAAACTCACCCGTTCCATCTGATAATTATTGGAGATATTAGAAACTCGTATTTTCTACAATGTAAACAGTGAATCGTTCCTTTCGGAATACATTATTCGATCTAATGCTGATTAGAAATGCGTTTTGTAGGTTGTAACTGAATTTTTATGTTTAGGTTTTCCATATAAGTCAACCTTGATCGCATATATATCTTCAAGGGACCTAATAGTTTTCAAGTTTTACTCAGGTCTTTACGAACTCATTCTCATGAGATGCTTTTTAGGATCTTCAATCAGTTCTCGCCATGTTTTCCCATACAAATGTTTAGTATCTTCAGTCCTTGCTAAAATTTGTTATATTTCTGCCGCTGATTTCTTTTTTATCATGTTTTTTATCTTCTTGGATTCCGTTACGATATTTTAGTTCCCATGAACTTGAACGATATCGCTCGACTCAAGGGATGTACTCTGAAGGGACGCAGTTTGGAGACGTCTTGTGGTTGCTCTGCCGTGGATTCCCTTCTAGGTGGAGCTCTACCGATTTCAACTTTCTTCTGTGTGGACGAGTTGAACTCTCGAGGCTATGCTGAAAGCCTTGCGAAGTACTTCATCGCTGAAGGCCTTTACTGTGGTCATGACGTGCTCGTGGTGGATCCCATGGACGAAGATAAGCTATGGAAAGGTATTCCCACAAAGATCGAGACTCAACCTGCCCCAAGCTCCTCTGCTGGCCCACCGATGCCGCCAGATCCTACGGAAGATTTACGAATAGCTTTTCGTTATGCTGCTAAACCTCAGGTAAACTCTACCGTTGGAGAGAAGAATCGATATGACCTCGGGAAACCTCTTGACATCTTGCCTTTCACTTCACAGATACTTGGTTACGATGGACCACTGACTTATGAGGCCCTTTACAAGCACATTGTTGATTTGTGTAAAAGCGAACGTTACAGTACTGCTCGAGGTCCTTCAAAGAACCTACTGCGGATTGTCATAAACCATATTGGATCCCCTGTCTGGAGTGACTCGTCCAACTTGTCAGCCTTTCTCGTCCGTATCCGTCCCCTTCTACGGAAGTCCTATGTGGTGCTGTTTGTCACAGCTGCAAGCGAAACGATGTTCAAAAAGCATGCCGAAGAGTTGTTTGTAACAGCTGACATCTACATTCAGTTAGTTGCGATCTCTGAAGAAGAACAAAAGAAATTGGCGAGTTTAGAGAAGTATCATGGCTACTTGAGGATTCTGCGTCTACCCAGAATCACTTCAGTCGGCACTCACAATCCCCCCGTTGATTTAGTTTTCACTCAAAAAAGGAATACCTTTGATGTGTCTATTCTACATTTGCCTCCTGCCGTAGGTGAAGGCGACAAGAGCTCCACCTCTTGCGGTAGTATTGACTTTTAAATTGGCAAACTATATATATTACTCTCTTATAACTATGTTATTATTTCTTGTCGCACACTTGCATGTTGTTATTGTTGTTGCTTTATTGTTGAAATTGTATAAATATTTAGGTATGAATAATGGTCTTGGAAGCTATGGAAGCAAAAGAATCAGTTAGCTCCCTTTTCTTGAATACGGATGCACATGCATCAGCGATATCGGAACGGTTCGTGTTCTTTTTGTAAACTTTTCTTGCGGTACTCGTTTTAAGTTTTCGCATGAACATGAGCCCTTTTTTTATTTTTTTATTTTTGGTTTATGGAATCAACATATAGGGTAAGTTAATGTAAGTCGTGATCAGTACCCGTAATAATGCTATAATATATGACTTTAACGTGGTGTACGAGCTCAGAAGCTTATTATTGTCTTCAAGGCAAATTATAGAGAGTTAAAGAGTCCGTACGGTCAAATTACTTTTGTCTAGTCATATTATTTATTTATTTGTTTATTTACCCATTTATTTGCTTATGTATTGATTGATTTGTTTGCTTGTTTATTTCTCCACTAAGGTAAGTCTGGTCTCTAATCAGTTGCAGTGACGTGCAATTTGGCTTGACATCAAGTTGTGCTATCAGTAACAGTTTCACAGATCTATGAAGCGAGCAAAAAAGTTGAGTTGGGAGGAGTTCGAAAACCACTTGAGAAGAATAGCTGTAAACTCTCTTGTTATTGTAATGATTTTCGGTCAGTAAGACAACAAAAACAGGAGCGGTGACAAAGGAAAACATTTCTTCATGTAGCTCTCGTTTGGAAAACATCTCTACGGCATCTTCAAAACAATCTGATCTTACGGAATCTTCATCTAACAGTTGAAATCAGTCCCTTCCATAGTTTCTTTTCCTTCTTAACATTTCGACTTTTCTAGCTGACTTTTACTATACTGGGTCTCAGATAGTCGTGTAACGATAAACCGGCGCGCCTAGCGTCCTTGTATTTGAAAATCGAGGTCACGTAAGAGCGGGGTTTCATTTCGCCGTTTTTGAGATCATGTCGCTTTCAGCGGAAACTGCAGATTTGGATCTCTGGAGATTCCGATGTTAATTTTCTTTCAATCTCAAGAGGGATGCCAGAGGTGTCGAAATTCTTCGATATGTTTGCTTGATCAAAGCTTCATACCTTTCAATCAGTTTCGTGCCTGAGCCATTTCTCCATTTTCGTCCATTCCCTTTCTCGGTCTGCTTTGGGAACAACGAGTTTTTGGCCCAATGATCAAAACATGGGCCAGCTTCGCAGGCGTCACTTCATGTTTTGTCAGATTGCGTGGCGTCGTTGATGAATGAACAAAAGGCACCAATGTTTTGGTTTGAACACAGTGAAGATTCCTATCAAAATTAGATCTTTTAATTACTAGTGCTGTCAAATCGTGTGATATTTCCAAGTGGCCCACTACCACTTGAGCTCCCGGCTCGATACGCCCAGGCCAACAAAACTTTTCTAAGAGATCGTTCACTGGCACCGGCCTTATCTGGGATAGAAGTACTGATTTGTACATTCGCCGGACACTACAGGTCTTCATAGGCAAAATACCCATTTAATATGCTTCTGCGATTCTGACTGGAGTACGGGGCCATCCAAAATACGAAATTGACAAATGTCAGAACACTTTGTCATTCATCCTTCACAAATTTCTGAAATTAGTTACGGCATTTGCTCAGAGTGATTACAAGCGGTGAGCAATGGGACGTTATCAGTGCGGCCAATGTTTGTGCGAATGAGATTATTGTTGATTTTTTATCTCTGCAACCTTATGAGTTTTATCGCTTTTTGAAATTAGCCTAGTGGGCGCCTGGGTTTCTGGGCTACTCTTGTGCTATAAGGTTTTGCCACCAAATAACTACTCCCTTATGAATGGTGCTTGCTTCTGCTCCATTTAGCGTGTCGGGGAAGCTTTCAAATGTTTTCAAGATGAAAGATTAAAGACGAACTATTGAAAGAAATCGCAAATGCGCAGGCATTTAGAGACTTGAACGTTCTCCGAATCAATTTGATCCATTTCTTTTGAGCATTCCAGCTTCACTTATTGCTTGACAATGAATTAGAGTAATCTTAAGGAAGATGGGCAAGGAACACAACTTGGCTCATCGGAAGACGGTCATCACGTTGGGCTCTTCTGTTCCAAGACGGGAGGAGTGGTTATCACGGCTGAAGGATGCGACCGCCGTAAGAGTGAAGCACTTCTCTTCACGCACGAAGTATTTGGTCGCTGGCAGTGTCACGGACTCCCTCTATAGGGTGAGTTGTACAGTGCCTCTTGGACTGTTGAATCGTCTCACAAGAGTTCCAATAAGCTAGAAAGCGAAAAGTGGCGCTGTTTATTTGTTTGAAACAACTGGTTTTACACCTTGGATTCCTTTTATTACTGTAATGGCCTTTTTGGTTATTTAAATACTCGAATCACTTGGCCACAAGTAGACTACCGACAGTGTTATACCTACTTAATCGTGTTTCAGAGAGCTGTAGCCTTAGGCATTCTCATAGTCAGTCAAGAGTTTTTGGAACGATGCCAACGATTGGAGCCACCAGACGACATCGAAAGAGTGGTATGTAATTTTTAAAACAGATTGTGACCGATTTCCGATTATTTATTTTTTAGGCAGAGGAGTGCCGGCTCCCACGTTTTGCAGGCCTGACTATTGTTTTTTTGGGCTTCAACGACGAGATTGTTGAGGATCATGCTCGTACTGTAGAGTCAAATGGTTAGAAAAGTTTGGAATGTTCACTGCCCGTGTAGACGGCGCTGCTAAGTATACCGAATAGTTTGTTTGTGATATCGTTCATCTTCTAACCTCTGCAGGAGGCCATGTAACCACCTCAACATTAGAAGCTACCCATGTTGTCGTTGCTCCTGACGTACGACCACCGGCATCCTGCCATGGAAAATATCTCATCACTATGGATGTGAGACGCACTTTATTCTATATTTTTGAATATTAATTTCTCAAAGATACAAGTTTCAAAGTGAAGTTATTTCAGTGGTTCCAACAGAGCATGGATTTGGGATGGTGTGCCAACGAGAAGTGTTTCGAGTACACATGGGTAGAACCGGCACCACGGCTTCGACCTCGAAATAGTTTTCTGAAGTTTCAGCGAAGGTAAGTATGCGTTTCATTTTACGAAATGGAGGTAAACTGTGTGCCATTTTGTTCTTCACTTTGCTTCGTGTTGAAAATAAAATAATAAATAAATAAAAATAAATAAAAAATTTTCCAAGATCCTTTCCGAGATGTTGAATAACAAAATGCAATATTTGTGATATAGACAAATTCCTTGCTGTGTTTTAAACTTCCAAAATCAAGGATTACGTGATTTTCATGAATTAAATAATTTTTTGGATTTGAAGTCTTTCAATAAGTTTGCTTATAACCTGGTAGGTATTTGTTGCAAATGGCGGCGAAGAAATTAGTGCACGGTGACATGGTATTTATTCTGTTGTATGAGTTTTCGTTGAAAACCCTTTGATAATTCCAAAATTTTGGAATGTTATCACCTTATTCCCTTTGTGGTACATTTTTTCATCGAATTACACACGTTCGATTTCAGAAGGCGAGAAGAATGTAGTGCCAAGAAGTACAAACGCTATCAACTCTGCTTGGAACTATTCAAAACTGAAGTTAATTGCTTGAAGGCGTCGGATTTCCTCGTGAGGGTATGTCAATCATTATTATTCGCGAAAGCTTAGTAGTATTCGTTCGAAAAAGAGAGATGAAGATTGATGAAGCACTGAAGCGAGGCCGATTCGGGTACCATTTTCCGAGCGTGCCACAGTGTAAATAAGTGACTGGCTACTTTCAGAGTGCGGTTTTTGTCTTTATCCATTTAAAATTACTTATACCGCTCATTTTCTTTTTGTCACTCAGTCTTCCCTCACAACATTTGCTCTTATAACAAGGCATACACTGCCAAAATGTTGAGGCACAGTTACACATTCCATTCTGTTTCCAGCTTTTCGAAGAGAACATACACGTCCCGACGGATGCAAACGATATTATGTTTGGTGTGTACGCTGTGATGCGTAAGGCCCACGACAAAATCGTTCAGAGGATGGGACAAGTGCTTGACACGTGGAATGATGACAGTACTATTGGAGATGTAATTTTTATTTCTAATTTCATAGATCTCTTGGAGTGGTTTTAATGAAATTTGTTAGAAAGATACTATGGCGTATGTAAACTGTATTAGTTTGATTCAAATGTTTTTTTGTTTCAGATTTTTGTTGAAGAGTCATCGTTGCTCACAGAAGCATACA